GTATGTATGTATGTATGTATGTATGTATGTATGTATGTATGTATGTATGTATGTATGTATGTGTGTATATGTGTATATACATACACAGAACCAAAATACAGGCATACATCTATTTAGACAGAGCTAAGCAAGCTGAGACCCTTTTTAGTTTCCTGATTTTGCCGTAATGTCTTCTTTATAGAAGATTGATGAGTCAGTGATAAATGGGTGATGAAAACAGTTTCCAAGGCAATCTTGTCGTATCCTATAGGATAATGACTTATTTTAAGGAGAAATATGCCCCACTATCAAGACCTGGCTGCTACACGATTGTATGCTTGTATGAGCAACATTATGTCCATGTGATATGTTGGTCTATTCGTCAGAGATGAACTGATCACAAAATTGGGTGTAAAACCAACCTAGTCGGCCTGTCAGAATTGGCTATGTACTGGGTAGCGACTAGACACGAGCTAGGATGGTCTCCCATCGCATCTGTTGGACGATTATGGTACGTCTGCTACAAAACGCAAGATAAAAGATGTTGATGAAATTGCTAGATTGGGGAATAATTAAAATGTAATTAATACAGGCGGAAATTGCAAGTTTAACATTACAGTCAGTAGTTCATACAGAGTATGAACTACTTATACTAGACTGGAGAGGAAGGGTGTTGAATCGCCAAATTAAGGCGATTTAACTTGTCAGCTCGTTGATAATTTTAATTACATTTACAATCGTTCAATGAGCTATGCTGGGTAGTTTTTTAATCCGACTTTCACGCGTACAGGCTTGCATTTTATCATCTCAATCAGAGTTACTTTCGGGCCTACACAATTTTTGACAATGCTTTCTTTAAGTCATTATATCTTGATGAAGAGGACCTGGTGGTAGGCTCTTTTGTAAGTATATTTAGAGAAAATAGCTTTTCCAGATCTTAAGTAAATTTTGAATAAGAATTCTTTATTCATCCTGCGTCGCATAAAGTGCTGGAGGGTTGACGATGGAATGTTCCCTCCATAATCAAAACAGGCCTCACATTTTCATTCAATTTAACCTAGTTTTGCTTCTCTCAAATTATTCCCCTCTTTTCTGGATTGAACTAGAGTTTCGAACTTGCCTGGGTCTCCTCAGCACCCCCATTCGGAATCGATCCCGCATAGTTCAGTGCATAATTTTCGCATACAAACACTATCCACACTACCAAGAGTACCGCTGGGCCACAGGACAGACATGAATTATAATGAAGACAATACTTCTTATAACACATAATATAGTGGGATTATCGATGAGCCAAGTAATATAGCCGATTGTAATGGCTAACACATCATATTTCTAATTTAATGGTAGTCTCGAAATACTACTTATAAATGAACAATAAGTAATGTAGTTGATTGCCATTGCAAACATTACTTTGCTTCATCGGCAATCTCACCTCAGAATGTGATATGGGAAAAGGCCTGGCCTTCCTTAAATTTCACATCTGCCCTATGACCCAAAGGAACTCGTGGCAATGTGGCGTAGTGATTAACGTGTCGAGAGTATACGCTGCACGATCATGGTCCGCTCGCGCTGAGGGTTCTGATAAGACCATTTGAGGCGAGGCCGAAACTACACTCCACTCCAGCCAGGGTGTGAATAGCTTTTGGGAAGCAAGGCTATGTGAAATTAAATGAAAACGTAAGGTCTACTCATATCATTGTGGGAAAATTTACCACCTCAAACGAAATGGGGTAAATACATGTCATAGATATAACTTTGGCTCATCGATATTCCCACTATAATTGTGATATGGAAGAAGCCTAGTCTTCTTTGAAATTCACGTCAAACCTGTGACCCTGTGGCGCTCGCGTTAGTTTGGTTTGGTATTTACATGTTGAAAGTATACGCTGTACTACCAGATTTTGAGTTAAGATGGGGGTACTGATGAGACTTAGCCAGGGCTAAAAGCGTAGTCTAATCCTGTCTGAATGAGAATTCCTTTTAATAAGCAAGGCTAACTGAAATTTATTGAAGACATAAGGGCTACTCATCGTTGTATAAAAATTCAATTGTCAATTCTTCATTCATTTTGTGACCTACGGGGACTAAAACTCTTATTTTCTTGTAACTACTTTGACTTATAGCCGATATTATCTGCTTTGATTTACATTTCTTCGGAGACTGACACAAATATGTAGGATAGAGCCAATCATCTTCCTGACTAAGCCTTAACATAAAGTTTCTGCGAGAATACATTCTAGCCATGAGGATGTCTGACTAAATCTCTGCCATTTTTAACCCGAAACAAGAGAGTATGCCTCGTGGAATGCACCAAAATGGATGTCGTAATAAAGACAAACGGATAAGTACCAACGGTGATATTGACATAAGAATCTCTCTTCCTCGTGCTCTTTTATACAAAATGAAGGTCTCTACTAAAATTTTATCTCAAGAGTTTAATCGAAACAGTTCATCTTCGACATACTCGAACTACACATTGCGCATGGGATAAATGCCTCCACTCTCACATTTTGACACCAACAACACAATTTTCCTGTATTTGAACTCAGCAACTTATAAAAGTTTTCTTTATTTCTAGTTCTGATATTCAAGTAGGGCGTACAAAGAATAAGGCAATCTAAGGTTCACTTTATTGTTTGACTATTCCCCAAATATGCTTCTTTTACTAATTGATGTGGCAATAAGATGGAGTTATAATATTGGCCAGAAATTAGACTTATTTTTATATCCATTTTTGGATAAGCTAAGGGTTGAACTAATGCAAGTTTCGGACCTCGATATTTTGGGCATTTATGGCAGAACCCTAACGATATGAACATCTGATATGATGCATCCTAGGCCATAGTTTCATTTTAAATAAATATCTTCTGATTTATTTATGCAGTATAAATGATTGAGTAAGAGCTATGGTCACGGTAAGTCGCATAAGGTTGTGAAGAAATGATAGTTTAATTTTCCACCAATAATAAGGTTAAGCATTACGTTTCCATTAAATTTCATTCAGCCTCGCCTACCAAAAGGTATTCTTATTCGAGCTCTATACTAGTCTCTGAACCTATCCATTATAAATGTTAGTAACCAAGTCGGTTGTAATGACAAATAAAAGTTTGATTTATGCTATATAGAGTTCTACTGATAGTCTTGAAACCCACTGATTATTAATAGGAAAAATTATTGCCGAGCCGTTTTCATTTTGTGCGAAAGTGTGTGTGATAAGAAGATTCATATTTCGATCTC